TCTCCAAATACCAGCCCACAATCGCAACCCCTGCAGCCACCTCCTCACTCAAACCGCAAAAAATCAATTCCCAACATCAATTCCCGAAATCAGAGCAAATCGCAGATCCATCGAACCTCGTCTAGAAATCAATTTAAGTTTGCCGAAAAAAGTTACGGTGTGGTGGTTTAGGGGTTAGGGTGGCCGAAAAGGTTAAGGCGGGTCGATTCGTTAGGGTTTGGAGCAAAGTGTTGCAGAAGAGTGGTGGTAGTGGTGGTGGTTGCGGCGATTCAGATCTTTGATTGTGGTTTCGGTGTGGTGGCTTGGGTCGGGGCAGCAGGGGAAAAGGGAGAGGGTTGGGTTGCGTTTGTGGGGAAAAGGGGTGGGATGGGTTCGCCGGTCGTCGGTCGGGGGAGGGAGCTGGGTGGCTAACGGGATGGGGCAAGGTTGGTTTCTTGGGTGGTTGATTTAATTTTGGTGGCCGGTCCCCAGTTAACATGTTTGCTGGCTGCGAAGGCTTGGTCAGTAGCCGTACAGGGCCCTTTATGGGCGGCGGAATTGGTGGTAAAAAAATGGAAGTTCTCAGTCGCTTTGTTCTCCAACGAAGGAGAAGATGAACCGGTGTTGAATTTTTATTTATTTTTTGTATGGTTTGATTTATGAGCACCAAAAATCTGTAAATCTGTAAATTATGAGCACCAAAAATCTGTAATGGATAAAATCAATGAAATGAAGGTTCAGAGAGGAAGTTTCGTGTTTTGCTGGGTGAAAATTGAAGTTGAAGCCAATTTGTGGGACCCACGTTAAATTTCCGTGACGGAAATCGTTAACTGGTGTTAACTTCCAACTTTTATATTTTTGGGAGGTGTTAAAATAAAAGTTTTTTTTTGGGGGGTGTTAAAAACCATTTTCAGCCTTTTGTCAGGTGTTAAAATCCAAAATATCCTAATATTTATGATTGTTAGTATCATGTTAGGGCTAATAAATATTTGATTGTTTAGTGACATGCTAGGGTTTGTTATTAATCTTGTTAGTATCATGCCTAGGATCTTGCTATTGTTATGCTTTAACATGATTTATGATTATAATTTTATGATGATGATGATGATGATGATTATTATTATTATTATTATTATTATTATTATTATTATTATTATTATGTTGCTTGATATTTATTATTATTGCTTGATCACGCCTTTTATGCATGTTTAAAGGGAATTGGTACTTGTAATCACGCTTAATAAGATAATTAATAATCTTATTTAGGGTTAATATGATTATAATTCAAGTGATCGCCAATAATAGATTTATTTGTGCATTATATTCAACCAACATAGATAAACAGGTTTAGGGTTAATCCTATTGCTTGCATGTTAGTCAGAAAGCGCACATGAATACGATCAGAATAAAGTAGAGGCCTATTATTAGGGCAGGTTCAATCTCTTTTAGGTTGGATTTGTACCTTCATCCCCGAACTACCATTCATGGTTCCAGACCTATTGGAGTTAACGATCTCTTGGATCGTTGAGGGGTGTAACCTTCACCCTGTGAACGGTTTACAAGTTCCTAAAACTTGTTGGCGACTCTTTTGCTCTATCTTCTTTCTTTTTGGACGCCACCGTACTTTAATGTATGATCACAGTGGGGTTTAAGCTAGGGGTAATGCTTGAAATATTCCCTACAACGTCACAAAACCATATAAAAACAGAAAATTAAGAAAAGAAGAGAATAAATTACTACTTGAAGCTTCAAAGTTGAGGAGAAATGTTGAAATTAAGAGAATAAAGCTTGAAATTATCTTCTATAATGTTTGAGTTTGAGAGATTCTAAACTAAAATAACTAATTAATTAAAGCTCTGCATTGTTAATTAAGAGAAAGAGCCTAAGAATACTAAGGATGAAGTTCGCACTAAGGCCAACTTCAAATAATCATAAGCTTTGAAGCTGAAGGAGTATTATATAACCCCCAAGTAAAAGGACGAAGAAAACAAGAATTGGCCTGTCTACAGATCGGCATGGACGTGCCAAAGGTTGCACAGATCGTGAAAACCTGTTAAAATGAGAACGGTAGCTACTGCCTGACCTTGCACAGATTTGCATTACTTGGCACGGACGTGCAACTTTTTCTAGCAAAACAGCTTCGTTTTGGAAGGTCATAACTTTTTCATTACTCATCAGAATAAGGCACGTGACCAGTCGTTGGAAAGCTCTTGAAATGAACTTTAATATTTAATTTGAATCAGTTCAAAATATTGAGTATAAAAAAAGTTATGATTATTTGAAGTTGGCCTTAGTGCGAAAATCCTTACAAAACCCTTCCAAATGCTCTTATTTTAGATACTTTTCCTTGCTTCTTTCATTCTTCTTCATTGATTTTGATTCATTATTCCATAGCTCCTTTCTTTATTTTTCTTGCCTCCAAATTATTTGCTTTTTTATCCAAAAGCTTCAAAGTGTCATCTTTATACCTAAATATGCACCAAAACACTAGCAACTAACCCCGTGAAGCTTAAGATACACAAAAAAATACATAAAAATAGATAATTAGGGAAATAAGACATTGATTTTTCACAATTCTAAGGCTTAAAACCACTCTAAAATCATACAAAATTACAAGCTATCAATAAGAATTATCAAATACAAATTACAACTAAAATAAGTTTTAATAAGTTCATATGAGTAAAAATTAAATGAATAGAATACTATACACCCTAAATTACTTTACATGTCTACTGGTAGTCTGTCTTGCATGGACCCGGTCCACATTAACTTATTGTGGACCAAATCCCATTACTCCATTAGTGACATATACCCAGCCAAAATCCAACAATTCTTCTTTACTTCTTCGACTTCTCCCCCATGCTCCGCTCGATCTCTATCAATTTTAGGGTAAAATTCTCTCTTCTCAAACAATTTTAGGGATTTTCTCATGTTAAGGTAATAACTATAATTTCTAATATCAAATATGACAACTGTGATTCCTGCGATGCTTCCTATTTTCTTCCTAATATGCATGTTAATATCATGTTAGGGTTAAAGCTTTGATCTTTATATGTTTAGTGACATGCTAAGGTTTGTTATTAATCTTGTTAGTATCATGTCTAGGATCTTGCTATAATTATTATGCTTTAACATGATTATGTTAATTATGATTAAATTTATTATTATAATTATGATTGTTGTGATGATTATTATTATGTTGCTTGATGTTTATTGTTATTGCTTGATCACACCTTTATGCATGTTTAAAGGGAATTGATACTTGTAATCACGCTTAATTAGATAATTAATAATCTTGTTTAGGGTTAATTTGATTATAATTCAAGTGATCGCGAATAATAGTTTTATTTGTGCATTAATATTCAACCAACATAGATAAACAGGTTTAGGGTAAACCAATTGATTGCATGTTAGTCATAAAGCGCATATGAATATAATTAGAATAAAGTAGATGCCTATTATTAGGGCATGTTCAATCTCTTTTAGGTTGGATTTGTACCTTCATCCCTGAACTACCAGTCATGGTTCCAAACCTATTGAAGTTGACGATCTCTTGGATCATTAAGGGGTGTAACCTTCACCTCGTGAACGGCTTACAAGTTCCTAAAACTTGTTGGCGACTCTTTTGCTCTAGCTTCCTTCCCTTTGGACGCCACCATACTTTAGTGTATGATCACAGTGGGGTTCAAGGTAGGGGTAATGCTTGAAATATTCCCTAGTGTTTTTTACGACTCCACTGGGGAGGATTTCTATTTCATTTCCTAAAATTTATTTTGGCAGTTATTAAGAATGAGTGGATAGAGATCTAAATCAGTATATATAGGAAGAACCTGTACAATTACAATCATTATTAAACTTCAATTTGATGCAATCGGAAGCAATTACAAAGGTAAACATCAATATATTTGTTAAAATTCATTCTAATTATAGAAAATTTGTTGATGAATATGAAATTCAACAAGAAGATGAAATTGTAGAAGATGCAGAACAAGGTGTAATAATGATGTACTTAATTGTAAATCAGGTTAAGAAGGAAAATCAACCTACAATACAAGCTCGTGCAAAGATTTGTTATAATTAGTTTTGATTTGGCATAATCAGTTTTGTATCACTACAATCAGTTTTACAACACAAACAGTTTGATATGATATAATCACTTTTTATTTCTTATAATCACATTTATTTTGATATAATCACTTTTCATTTTTTTTTAATCAAATACAGTTTAGTATAATCACTTTTTTTTTATAATCACATTTAGTTTAATATAATCACTTTTTATTTTCAGTAGTCACATTTAGCTTGATATAATCACGTTTTATTTCTTATAGTGACATTTGGTTTGATTTATTCAGTTTGCATTTAATTTACTCCAATTGATGATCGTAATCCTCTTCGTTTACTCCAATTTGATGAAATTTCACTTCTAGTTTTGATCGCCATTGTTGATTTTGATGAATTTCCTCCTCTCGTCTTCACCATTTTTGAAGTGTAATACAGAACATCAAAGGAGGTGAGAGAAAAACAAAAGTAAGAAGAGAGAAAAAATTAATAATTTATCAAAGAGGAGAGAGAAAATGAAAAGGAAAAGATAGAAGAAAGAATGAAAGTGTGATTAAAGCTTTCAAAAAAAAGAAACGTGTACTAAGGGTCTGTTCTCATACGTTGAAATTCAGTTCAGTTCAGTTCAGTTCAGCTCAATTCAGTTCAGTTCAGTTCAGTTCAGCTCCTAAATTCCTTCCCTTATAAAATATTCAGTTCAGTTCAATTCAGCTCCTTATTTCCTTCTCTTATAAAATATTCATTTCAGTTCAGTTCAGTTCAGTTCAGCTCAGCTCAGTTCAGTTCAGTTCAGCTCAGTTCAGTTCAGCCAATGAGAACAAGCCCTAAATCATTTAATATTTACTCGGTCCACATTAAATTAATGTAGAACGGGTTTATTATAGTCTTTATCTAACTCTCCAAAAAAAATTGAACGTTTGGCGCGAAAACATAAATATTCATACCCCAAGTCCTTATAATGGAGGGAACTAAAAATCCAAATTAATCATATTCAGCAAAACCCGAACTCTATCAGAATTTTTTAAGAAATTGATTGCGAGTTTTGAAGTATCGGAAGAAATGCAGAAAACGATTGAATCATTCTTTAATCACTCATCAAATCCTCCTCCATCTGCAAATTCCTACGATTTATTCGACGGAATTAGGGAAACAAAGTTTCCAGAAATTCGGATCAAATACACTCGTCAACCCACCAGGTACTTCAATTTTTTTTCCCTCAATTATGCATTTCTAATTTCAATTAATCAAATCTTATTCATACCCAGATCGTTAATTTTGTCCAAATCTAATATTATGGTCCTATAATTTAGGGTTGAAGAATCAACAAGTGATGTGTTAATTGGGGAAGAAATTTTCGATGAGCAAATCGAAAAGAGTGAGAAATTTAAAGGAAAGAATTTGAATAAGAAGAGAAAGTATGCCCAATTTCATTTGGAATTGGGTCAGTCTGATTTTCTTCTTCATACTTGTAAAGTTTGTGGGATTCAGTATACTAAAGGGGATGAAACTGATGAGAAGGTTCATACTTCATTTCATAAGAATTTTACTCATGGAATCCCATTTAAGGTGAGTTTTTAACGATGCTAGCCCTATTTTCAATTGTCTTTCTGTATTTTTTTTCAATTCGAATTTTGTTGAATTGTTGTATTGGTTTACAGGGTTGGCGCCAAGAGCGATTGATTCATTTGCCAGCACTCAAAAGGGATCGTATCGTAGTTGTTTCGAATTGTGATCCTCCGGCTCAAAAGAAGAAGGTTGAGATTTTATTTCATTTTGCTTTAAAAGTAGCTGTTGTTTCTTTGTTGGTGATTTTTTTTTTTTTTTTGGTTTGTGGAGAAGATTGAGATGATAGTGCAGTAAATTTAGCTTTTTGTTGGGAAATTTTATTATGTTTTAGGTACAAGAAGTTGTGAAAATGATGGAGATTGAACTCGGTGATGGGTGGATTTTCCATGAGCTTTGTCAGGTTTGTACTGATGTGGTGGAGTTATCAGACTTATCATTGCAATTTGTGTTTCAAAAGTTGTTCTGTATGGGTCGATTGTTGAATATAACCTTGGCTGATTGGTTGTTGCAGGTGTATTTGTTTATATCCTCACAAAGAGTTGTGGGTTGTTTGATTGTGGAGCCAATAAGCACGGCACACAAGCTCCTTTCAGACTCAGTGCAAAAAATATCGGATAGTGCTAGTGGGAAAGAAGTAATAGCTAAAGCAAATACATTACAGTTTGGTACGATATTCTTTCAAAGGGAAGTTTCCAGGAAAGGATCTACCTATAAAAGCTTGGAGGCCATGGATTCTAACTTACTTGGATCCATTGTCTGTGAAGAGGAGGCTACACCTGCTTCTTGTGGCATTAGAGCTATTTGGGTCAGTCCATCAAATCGAAGAAAACATATTGCAACTCACTTGTTAGATGCTGTGAGGTAACCTACCTCTTCCAACATTTAAAACTTTACATATGGTTGTGTATGAATTTCCATGAATTAGAATATAGACTGATTTAATTAAAGGCCAGAAAGTTGTTACTAATGACCTGTTATAGCTATGTAAAAAGTCATTTTTTTTTAATTATTATTGTCATAATTATGCAGAATGGACACATAATGACTAACTGTCAGTGACTCCTTGTTACAGTCCATTTACCCATGCCTAGGCAGAAAAGAAGAGGGTTACAAATTAGGTCTGTAGATAGAGTAGTCATTCACATTGCATTGATAATGGTTCTGCTTGAGTAAAGCTTTTTGGCAAAGTTACGTTACTTTTTACTTATATGGGGCTTAAAATGCCATAGAAAACAAGACAGTCATGTATTCTAACGTGCCTTTATGAGATGACAACCAGTAGTTATTTATCTAGGAATTGAATGGTGAATATGGGTTCTAGAATCAAAAGTACCTGAGGGCTTAGGTGCTTAGGTGCACTACTGTGGATGGAATAATTTTATTACTGCAAGAATCTGGATGAGGCATCTTGGAGCTGTTTTTATCAAGGCAGATGGTCTGGTTAGTGAGTTACTATGGAAGCTTAAAACCTGGAACAGATGCTAAAAAACATATCATTATGGAAGTGATGGAAATTTTGGATATGCATTTTACTGTTAGATTGTATATGTCTGATTATTATGGTTTCTTGGTGAAATGATAATCTAGAGTGTTAGTGAATGCAAATAGCTTATTTTGGACATAGGTTGTTAGTTTAGATGAACTACTACGAGAGGGGGGTGAATTGTAGTAGGTTTCAATCGCGAAACTTATGCGGAAATTAAAAACAAAACGTAAAAGGAACTTAAAGAACACAACGAGTTTTACGAGGAAACCATCCAGTGCCTAGCTGGAAGTAAAACCTCGGCCCTATTGGGACTTATAAACAAATTCCACTATAATAGGCAACTCTCCTAGTACAACCTATTAGACAGACCTTTGCTTTGCAAGTTCTACCACGGACACTTGCCACTTGATAGGACACCTCCTACCAGACCTAAGACACTTCCTAGGTACCTTTTCCCCTTAACCTAGGACACTTCCTAGGTGACCCAAGACGCACTCATAGCTACCACTTGAATTTTAGAGAATTCAAACTCATACACACAAACGTGAATTTGTAGAGAATTCACAATCTCACCCCAAAACCAATTACAACACAAAGACTCAATCTAACACATAAATGGAAAGCTACACATGAAACCCGAAATCAAAATGATAAAGCTTAAACCTTTGGCAAACTTACTCTTAAGCACTAAGTGGTTTTCACACTTAAAACTCTCATTTTGCTTCACTGAATCACTTCTATATTTATAGAAGTTCCTCACTTCACAAAGTAGGGTTTTCGCAAATATGATAAGCTTAAACAGAAATCTAATCTTATCACTTTAAAGTCGAAACCAAAACAAATTTAATTCGCCTTTTCTAAAAACCAATTTTATCAAATTCGTTTTAGTTAAAAGATAAGATTTTATGAAAAAGATAAAACCGAGTTAAACCAGATTTTAAAAGATAAAATCAAATAAGTACTTTTTCATAAAAACTGTAATTATCTTTTACGAATTGATGAGCTTGTCAAGCTTTATCTGATTTCTAATAAGTTCAATGCATAACAATCATTTACATGCTTACATCAACCTATAAAATAAACTTATCTTTTTTACAACTATAAGTTATGAAATCCATCTTTTTCGGTTGATATCCGAGCTCTGATCCTTGGTTGTTAAGGTTTGCCCCAGCATTACACCGAAACCAGGTCGTTACAACCCGTTTGAAGTTCCTGTTAAGAACTTCGGGAAGTTCCATTGCTGAAACTCCTCATCTGTCTTTACTTGTCCTCATGAATCTTCTAAAGCTCCTTTGTTTTAGTTCCTACTTCAGCTAACAAAGCTTACTGAACCTGCAAACATTACAACACTAGAAAATCCTTATTAGATGGAAGTTTGCTCAATTCTTAACGTCATCATCAAAACCTCATGAGGGTCAACATAGGTGATTAGGTGGTTGGAGTTGCAGTAGGTCTTTATGCTAACTACTACCTCCGTTTCATATTATTTGCAACGATTAAACATTTTTCCTCTCTACTTTATGTCACATCGTTGCAAATAATATGAAACGGAGGTAGTATTACTTGAATAATTTAAAAAGAAGAATAAAACAATGATTTTAGCATCATGTAAGTGTCAGGTTTGCATCATGGCTAAGAGAAATCTTGCAATGCACTCACAATCTCACATACCTTCCAAAATTAGAAGTGTTTACTCCTTGTGCTCCCTCCTCCTTCCTGCATGCTGTCCGGCCTTGGCCTGCTCTTTGAAGGTATGACTGTAAGTCTGTGACTAAGGGTAGTTCACATTTACACTATATGTGGGTATGACAATTTGGAGGGTAAGGGAGCGATGTGAAAGTCAGGATTCATTTTCCTTTATTTGCATCAGAAATATGGGAAGTAAAAAAGAAAGGTTGGAGGGAACGAGGATCCATTTCCCTCCCCTTTAAATAAACCTAATCTCTTTATTATTGAAACGCCCCCACCCCCCCCCCCCACCCCCCCTTCCCCCCTCCACCACACATACACTCAGAACTCCCTCTCTCTTCCTATTTTTTCCTTTCCCTCCTCAAAATCTCACCAAACAGAATTTTAGTTATGCCATTGAATTGCTGAAAAAGTAAGGCAATAGTACAGCATCTGACTGTCTTCACCATACCCTCTTTGCATTTGTATCTATAAGGATGAGATTGGCGTGATTTTAATAGAGTATAAATCTTGTCATTGTGGCCTTTTGGGTGCACTCAGGGACGAGGGATTAATTTATTGAGTTGGTGATTCTTAGCTACTTCAAATTGAGTAACACTTCTTATATTGATGCCTCATGCTCTCATCTTCCATGAGGTAAAATTACATCTTTAGAGCTGTTTTGACTTTTGATGCTGGTAGTCACAGCTAGATACTACCTCGGTTTCATATTATTTGCAACAATTTGACATAAAGTGTGAGAAGTGTCTAATCATTGCAATGAAACGGAGGTAGTAGAACATTTGAGTATTTGACAGAATATTCTCATAGTAAGAATTCTTCTTGATGATCCCTTAAAACATAAATACTCATTGCATATTACCATGTATGCTATCTAGGAGCCTAAAGTCTCAGCATTTTTTGAAATAATTGATGGCCATTGACTCGGTTGCCTTTATTTCTCACATGCTTTCTGATGGCAATACAAGCATTGCAATTTTCTGTAATAAACAAACTCTGCATTCACCCACCCACCCACTAAAGCAATAAAGCACCTATACTCCTATAGACATAATCTCTTAGTCTTGTACTGCCTGGCTTCTCTTGCTAGTAGAATTTTGTAAGCAGTAGCAGCTCTTTGTGTTTCGACTCCTCAGATCGAGTAATAACTGAGTGACTATCACTCATAAGAGCTTTGACCCTTGGCTGCCTCAAATGTTTCACAATCAATCTGATGTTATGTTGCTTTCAAGGTTCATCAATTCCCTGGATAACCCTTCAGCTTCATAAATTAGTCTGGCCAGGCAAACTACCATTATATGTATGATAGGCGAAGTTATTGGGGAGACTGTTTGTGTTTTTTAATTCAGCATAAATTTGCTTTTAAGTCTTTTTCATTTGCTTTTGTTGGTAAATCATATTCTAGTAGTATTTAGATTTTTGTTCTGATGTTAAATATTCATGCAGGAAAAGCTTTTCTACAGACTATGTTCTTGAGCATTCGCAATTAGCATTCTCTAATCCAACCTCAGCGGGAAAGGCATTGGCAACCAATTATACTGGTACAGGATCTTTTTTGGTGTACAAAACGTAGTTATACAAATATTTTCTACAGTACTCCAATGGGTATTTGCTGTATTAAATCTTGTAAGTTTTGAAATCACACTGGTTTTAGCTCCTGAATACCTTGCAATCATTCTATCTTTGCATTCTGCTAATTTACTTACCTATGTAGCCAAATTACCAGACTCAGGAACCAAATTACAACCCAATATTTATTCAGCTTAGGGATGCATCTTATAACCTGACAGTAAAATCTCCCTTTTTTTTTCCTTTCTTTTTTTTTTTTAATAGGGTGAAACCCAATAAAATCTCCTTAATCTTAATACGAAGTACATGGTAAAAACTTTTTTTTCCCCTTCTTCTACAAAAGTGGGCCCTAGAGTACAAGGCCCATAAGATCGTTCAAATATCAGTTTGTTTACAAGTAATAGGCCCACTTTCAAGCCTCTTGCTTAAGATTTCATCACCTCTTAAAGCAAGTGGGTAAAAAAGTTGCAAAGCCCATAACATCGTTTTATATTTGATGTATATATACAAGTATATTTTTTCATAGAATTTTGGTGTGGAAGCATATGGCAGGTGGATGAAATCATTGTACATAATCCCGCATTTTTCCCAAAAGTTTACATTTTTGTGTGCATAACTTGTTCTTTTTAGCACTTTTTATAACAATGGAAGCGCAATTCAATAACTTTTGAACATTTTTAAAAATTGGAAAACTGTTTAATATCTTTATATCAAAGTTATGGACTTATAACATTAGCTTGTAAAGCTTTTAAGGGAAGGAAATTTAAAGAGAACGTTATAAACTTTTTATTATATATTGTAATGCGTTTTTTTGGGGTTTGTATAGGGTGCTTAATGTCCTAATTAAAATAGACTAGTTTACCACTCTAGAAACAATATTATTGATCCCAAGAGAAACCTTAATCTATAGTTCTTAGGTAAGTAAGAGTTATAGACTCCCAAAGAAAGTAGTTCATTGAAAAAGAGAACTTACATACTACCTCCGTTATAGGTTATGTGCAACAATTAGACATTTTTCCTCTCTACTTTATGTCAAATCATTGCACATAACCTGTAACGGAGGTAGTATAAAATTATAAGAAACGCTTATGTGTGTTTTGATTCAATATAGGGTAGCCCTTATGAGATTGGTTAGATTTTTAAAAGGATTTGGATCTTAAATTCAATACTTTGAATAATTTAAGTTAAAAGTTAAGCGGACTAAAGTTGTTTAAGTTGATTGAAATTAAATAAAACACACCATACATTGTGAGATTTTGATCAGCACGTTTTCTATGTGGCTAGCCACACCTTGTGGCCACAGCTACTCGATCGGTTAGGGATTATTCGATCAATCAGGAATTACCTCTAAATAAGTAATTAAGTCCACAGAGTGTGACCAGTCACATAAAAATTTGTATAAATATACTCCCTCCGTGGTTTACCTTTTTTATTAGTATTTCTCTCCTCTTACATTTATTAGTTTTCAATAAATTATTAACCTTAATATCTTTCTTTTATAACTTTTTAATACTCCAACTACCCCACTTACCTCCTATTTTGAAGATTATTTATGTCAATTAAATTGCCTAAAACTATAAGCCGGTTAAAGTGTAACACTTATTAAAACACGGAGGGAGTAATACGTATTTGGGTTAGCTATCAATATAATTGCTTTCATATACGGTGTAAGGGCTTGTTCTCATACGTTGAAATTCAGTTCAATTCTGTTTAGTTCAGTTTAGCTCCTAATTTCCTTCTCTTATAAAATATTCATTTCAATTCAGTTCAGTTCAGCTCCTAATTTCCTCCCCTTATAAAATATTCAGTTCAGTTCAGCTCAGTTCATTTCATTTCAATTCAGTTCAGTCAATGAGAACAGGCCCTAACATTATTCATAGCACTTTGTAACATCTAAAGTCTAATATAGCATGAAATAAATGTTATGGAATAATTTGTACTTAGTATAATTGATTAATCATTCTTCAATAATCAATAGTATAACTTATGTAAGTAGCACATGGTAAGTAAAAAGACCAAAACTGAAAAGCCATTGCTTGAACGTCACTCTCTCTTACATTACATAAATGAAACACCCCCATTTGCAACTAATGCTCCCTTCAGCTTCTGCACCCCTCCATTTCCTACCCTTTTTTTTTTTTTTTTTTTTTTTTAATGCTCACCAAGATGCCTTTTTTTTCCATAAAAATAAAAATATTATACATAGGAAATCCAAGTCCCTGAAACTCATTAATTGGAATTTGGAAGTTACATCAACAATTTACGTATGGAGTTAAAATAATGGTAGATTGGGAGTAGTAAGTACAGTAGAAATGTATTATTTGGCCAAAACAAAGCCATAGAACAAATGCAACAAATAGAACTTAAAGCATCTACGTTTCATATTATATTAATTTATTTAAGCTTAGATAAAATAAGTTAAGAGCATACAAGTTGTTTTATGCACAATTTCAAATTAGTTCGGTAATTTATGTTAAAATAGAATTAACAAGAATGATTGTTAAATTCGACCAATAAAAGGGATTTCATGATCATATTAACAAGAATAAATTTAAGTTCTTAAAATGACAAGGATAATGTAACTGGAGTATTACTACGTACTTTATATATTATACTTAGGGTATGTTCTCTTCAAATTATTTTCAGTTCAGTTCACTTCGGTCCAGTTCTTAATTTCATTCTCTCATAATATATTTATTTTAGTTCAGTTCAGTTCTTAATTTCCTTTTCTTATACTCTGTAATATATTAAGTTCAGTGCAGCTCACTTCAGTCAATCAGAGCAAACCCTAAAGAGTAACACCGGACAAATATGACCCCTTAAGAGGTGGGAATGTGGGATATGGTTCTATTAACTTTCTACCTTTGTCTATGTTGCTTAGGACTAGATCTATAGAAGACATATTTAATACTACGTATTAGTTCTTATTGCTTAATGATGATATAACATTCTAGTAAAAAAAAATGATGATATAACATTACCAAATAAAATAAAATAAAATAAAATAAAATTACAGTGAGAAATGTTGGTAAGAAATGGTAACAACGATAATGTTTGAGGACAAAATGAAATTTGAATGTGTCACCATGGTTACAAGGCAAGCACAACTGCACATAGGTAGGCATAACCGTACTTGAAACTTAGCTAGGCACGACCATTCTTAAAACTTAGCTACACACATTCGCACAACCCAATCTCCAGACGAAATTTTGTGCCCGTGCTATGTTGGGTTGGCCACTCTTAACATCGCGATCCACCCTTCGAAATGTCGTTGCGAGGTTGTGTTTTGTTCACTTTTTTTAGGTAACATAATATGCTTATTAGTTAAATCAAACTCTCCACCATTTATTACAACACTCAATTTTCATATCAAGTCGTTTATTCTCGTGTCGTGCCAATTAAACATTAGGACTCGGATTGTACCAAATCCAACCCAATGTCAAGCCAAATAATATCGTTCAATCAGAATTCGACACACTATATTTAATTTTGAATTCAGAAACATAAAAAATTTCAAGTATCAGAATTTTCAAGTAAAAAAATCCCAAGACTTGAGCTGTGCTCAGTTTGTACAGCACTTGTTTGACGAGCCATAGTAAAAGGCCTTCTGCACACGCTACCTTAAGGTAGGACTTAGGCTTGGCCTATCGCAGCTGAAAAGTGGCCCACTTTCGGCAGTGCATTGGAATTCCCCATCAAATTATTAACCCAATTTAAGAAAGAAAGAATCAAATAACTTTTTTGTAACATCAACATCATAATTTAGACAAACTAGTCAATTTGCTGCTCCTTACTCTTCCCTATCCTCATTCACACTTGCATGTTTATAGTAACAACCCACTTTTACCGAAATTATCTTGGCATTCCCCTAATTTAGTACCTTCTTTGTTTCTCTATATGATATAGTCGGATAGTCTTATACCAAGTATATAGGCATGATCAATTTCCTTTTCGCGTTATTGATTCACTGGTTCGTAATTAATTGTCGCATTGATGAATTTTGATATTTAAATATGTGTCACTAAATGAAATTAGACTCGGGTCAAAGTGGAGTTAACTTGCTTTTGAATTGATAGGCTAAGTAATCCGACCTGATTTTAACCCAACTTTATTGAACTGAGCAAATATGGTGGTCAAGTGACTCAAACCAATATTATTCGATACTCGAATGATCCAAAATGACCCAAAATGATTTTAACCCTTCGGAGAAAAAATATATATATAAAAAATAAAAAATAAAATAAAAACTCAACTCAAACTATATTCAGTGGCGATCCACATTGACGCCCAGGGGGCACGTGCTACCCCCACAAAAACAAAAACAAAAAAAAAATGCTGGAAAACCGTCTTTTATATGTGTATATATATTATAATCTGTTTTAATATTAAGTGTCTCCAGCATTACTTCAGTGGTAAGGGAGTTGGATGGGTGAATTATGTGTGTTCAAGTTCAGGGTTCGATACCCCTTATCATCATTTTTTTTGCTTTGAACCCAAATGAATTTCCACTTTCCTCCTATTTAATTAACAAAAGGTTAAGCTCTTACTATCTTTTCCTGATAAATTTCTTTTTTCCGTTTTCACACTTTTTATAAAACAGTCCTTATTAATATGAAATACTCTCTCCGTTATATTTTATTCATTTTTCTCATTTTCATCACATAATATTTATTGCATTAATTTGGCCATTATTAAATCTTGTTTATAATCGTATGAAAATTTACACTGAAATAAATACAAAAAATCATACTCCAACTGTGTTTAAATAAATGAAACGTTTTGACTTTTTTTACAATTCATCTAATTCACTTTAGCTAATATTTATGATTTATACATAACAATAAATATAGTCATGTGGGTACTTATTGGAATCGTCAAATTTATTACCATAATATTCAATTGTTATAAGTTTAATTATGAAAAATATATATTTTCAGTCAAAGTTTTACGTTAGCATATGTGCCATAAGTGCACATGGAAAAATTTATACCAAAGTTTTCGGTATAAATTCATATGCAACTTTGACAAAATAAAAAATAAACAGGTGGAAAGTTTTTAAAAGTATAATCAATATCTACAATATAATTGAATTATTTGTAAAAAAAAAAATTTTTTTGTCAATATAAATGTTTGAATGTGATTGTTAATTATTATACGACTACACAACACATTATATCCATGTTTGGCTGATTAATTATGTTACGTTACAATAATGTTATACTTTTTCTTTTTATTATAGTCTTGTGCTACCCCTACTTCGGATTTCTTGGATCCCCCATTGACTATATTGGCTCAATTTTTGTACTAATTTTTTTTTTTTTTTTATTTGTAATATGTTAGTGTATTCATTGCATATTTTGAGTATTCATTTTCATTAATTTTGAATCATCAATTATGTTTAACCTCAAAATGATCCAATTTTTTTTATTCTAATCCAAAATACTTGAATGTTCAAAATGTTTTAATTCGAACTTTTACCTAATTCAAACTAACCTGAAAGTCTTGGCCCGATCCGAAATTACACAAGCTAAAAAGATCTAAACCGAACTCAACTCAAAACCCAAACCAACTTGATTATCTATGGTCTCGAACAAACTCGGAACTCAAATCGACCTAACCTGCATTCAATCCAACTTGACTACTTGTTGACTTGAACAAGCCAATAACCCGAATTGACTTGACTTGAACCCGACCCGAAAGCATAATGAACCCAAAATTATTCGTCTCAAACAATGCGATTGCCATAGTCTACTAGCAACCCAATTGCTCTCTTTATCTCTCTTCATAAATACTTATCCTTTGTGCACAAATTTGATTTTTTTAAGTCACTCTTGTTCGAGATGATACTGACATCAATATGAATTAGGTAACTGACCCGGACCTTTGCATTTGGATCATGACCAATACTCACCCATTGCCCATATCATCCAACTTCGCCTACCACATGGAGAGCTACTTCTGGCCACGTGAACAACCATCACCCACTTAACAAGACAGCTACGTGAAGCAACATGTGGCACCATCTTGGGAATTTCTATATATACCACAACATAAAAATGATTTTTCTTAACCTAAACACTCTTAAACCACCTTTATACTCTTATTATTCAATACAATTTTTAAAAGAGAAAATAGCGCATTTAAATTAACACAATTATTATTAAAAGGATCTTGCTAATGATGGATAAGCATTTAAAATATTGCCTAAAATGGTATTAATTTGGAAAGGCATGACAATTTCACGCGTCGATCGGTGTAATTAATGTTCATTTAAATTTAATCTTTCTACTTTTAGCTAACTTATCTAACGCCCCTGGGGCGTTCGTTAGCTTTTGTCTTATTAAAAAGGGATGCACCTAATAGAAATTGAAGTAAATTGATAATCAAATGCAGTAGAGCTGTCAAATCGGGTATTCAAGTCAGGTTCTGGTCGGGTCATGTTAGGTTTTAAGTCAAATTCAAGTCGGATCATGTTGGTTATTTTTACTTAAGTCGGGTTCATGTCGGGTTGGGTCAAGTTCGATTCGGATTATGAAAGGCTTTATATCTATTCGGTTGCAATTCGGGTTCGATTCAAGTTAATTTTGGGTCGAGTAATGTTTTGGATTCGGTTTGTGTCAAGTCGAGTTACAAACAAGTTTGCAGCAAGTAAATTTCGGTTTGAAATTTAGGTCGGGTCATTCTTAGACTCGTGTCAAATTTTACTCAGGTTGGGTAAAGTCATGTCAAGTCAGGTCAAGTTGAGTCGAGTTTTATTTTAAACTTGAGTCATGCTAAATTATTGGGTCCATGTGAGTCAAATTTTGAATAGGATATTTTTTTCGAGTCAATTTCAGATCGGATCAGTCGGGTTGATTTTGACATCTCTAGGCTCATATGAAATATGAGTAAATTTTGATTGACTAGAACACAATAACAAAACGAGAACACCTTAAGTCGGATCGAGTCAAATCAAGGTTTGATAAACTAGATCACGAATGTGGACAAATTTTGACATACTAAACCACAATTAGATCATACTAGTTCTTGGTTCAAGTCTTGTTTAGGTTATAATCGATTTCAGGTTCTAAACAAGTCGAGTACTAATCGGGTTCGGATCATATTCAAGTCGGGTCAAATTGGTTTTCGGTTAATATTAAGTTGATTACAAGTTCAGGTTCAGGTCAAACAATATCAGGTCTATTCAATTATCAATTAATTTCGAGTTTGTTCAGTTCAGGTTCCATGTCACTGTTTTGACCTATTCTTTGGGTACGGGTCGAATATAGATCATTGTCAGCTGAAGTCGATTTTTTTGGGTCGGATCAAATTTTGACAGCTCTAAATGCAGTCAATGAATAGTGGTCACTATGATAATTTTTTTTTTAGAAGAAAAATAGTGGGCACTATGATTGAAAATTTGAAACAAAGAGGTTTCATAATTTCACACATAAAGCTCAAGCAAGATCCCAGACACGCAATTAGAAGCCAAGGATTGTCGATTTCCAAAAAATCAACTCCCCAAAAATGATAATACAAGCATCTAGATTAATACACCTCTAGTATACAGTTACACTAAGTTAAAACTATAATAATACTACCACTTTATAGCATTAATATAAATTCATACTCTCATAGGCATAGCCATACAAAAACAACATTAGTTAATTTATATAAGCAGTACTTCTATTAGTTAATAACCTCAAACAAACAAAACAACTCCACCAAAACCTAAATATTCTAGGACACTTGGGTTATTTTACACAAGGGATCACACTAGGCTAGTGTAGATTTGCGGACGACATAGCGATAGGCAGCAACCTTCCTCTTCCGTGATGTGGTGTTGTCCACAGACAACACAAGTTTCCCGGCCTCTTTTGCCAAGAACGAGTTGTGGATGGCATCGTCTGAGGGGTTGAGTTTCTTCGGCTTCTCCACTGCAAGGGTGTAGCCATCTTGGGCATTCGGGATGAACTCCGCACTATACTCCAAGTCCCAACCTCCAACGACCAAGTCCCATGTAATTGTTGCACCCGCCTATTACAAAAGCAACAATTAATGCGTCTTCATTATAACTAAACTGTTGACATTGATCTTAAGCATCATAAAGACAAGTAGGACACACCATTAATCCTTTGTCAATCTGATTTCATAAATTCATTCACATGCCTTAATGTTAGCTCTAAATTTGATTCAAACTTGAGCAGAATTAACCCCACCATTCAGGAATTTCCGACAAAAAATCAGCAAAATATCCAACAATTCTAGTCCTTGAATCATACTCAATAATGCAATATGCCAATTGTGCATGTTAAAATAGTTCCTAAAATTTGAATTGTTGGTCTTGTTGAAGGTATTTACAATCAAAAGTAGTTAATTTACAATCGAATGTTTTTCACCTCACAATTTGTTTAGCTTATTTTTGGTGCAAATTTAATTTCTATTTAATGCTTCCCTCAATTTGTGAGGCACAACAATGCATTGGACACCAAATCATAAACAGAAAAAACTGTATACTTGCTAGACAAAGAGGAAAACTAACCTCAATGCCCTCAATCTGAATATTAACCTTTTCACCCCCTTTGACGGTGAACTCGGAGGCCGGTTTCGCCGGGCCATTCTGGAGATCGCCAGGTCGACTCAGTCCTCCATACTGAACCGGTACATCCTCTGGCCTTATGAACCTATATAGACAAGTAGATCAAACCCAATTATCAGCTTTAGCTTGAATACGACTTATAAGCATTTCCAAAATTAATACTGTATAGAGTAATGCTACATGTCTAACTATATATATCCATTGATAGTATTAAGTTTAATCGTTATACAACCTCTATTTCATATTATATTGATGTTATCATCATTAGCACGCGTGTAAAACTAAAGTGTTAACATCATTGCGAAACGGAGGTAGTAGATAGTATAATTCTTTACATAAAGATAATATCAACAGTACTAATGATTTAAGATACTCTTTTTGAAATTAAAGAAATATCAATAGAATAATTTAGTACACTTGCATTGCATATTCAAAAATTCAAAAGTGAAGTGAGAAAAAGACAACACAAGAAAGCAAACACAGGGAAACATGATCACAGGAAATGAGATTACCCTTTCCAAATATTATCAAAAAAAGACAAAGAAAAGAAACAAAGAAGTTTTAAGTTCAGGCTACATGAAAAAAGTAAGCAAAAATTCAGATGAAATGTCCTTTTTGCCACACAAAACCCTATCAAACACCCTCTAATCACAGTACCACACATTAAACAAAATTAAACACACCTAAATGGGCATTTTTATAAAAATAAATATGCATTTAATATCAAATTAATAATTAAATCAAGGGAATTAATTAAAATTTTAATTAATAAGCTTACTTGTAGAGTGTTTCAGCAACATTGCCTTCCTTAGCAATCACAAACTTGCTCTTAGTTCTTTGAGTTAAAAATGGGCTGAACATTGAGTACAACAAGCTAAAATACCATGGCACATTGATGAAAATCTACACACAAAAAAAAAAAAAAAAAACACAATTGTTAGAAACAACACAAAAAAAAAACCCGAAACACGGAAAATCAAATCTCGTCTACATCATTGTCCTTTACCTTGCGCGCAACCATTTCAGGATAATTATCTTGAAAAAGAGAGAGAATCTGATTAGAAGCAACCCTAAGTTCTCTTTTAGGCATATCTTTTAAATCAGTAACTTGAATAATAGAATTAACACCACCAGGTTTAAAATGAAGTAATTTAATCCCTCTTTCAAGAACTTGAACTCTCCATCTCAAAAATTTCTCAAGTTTTTCATCATCCCCAAAAATTCTTTCATACATTTCTTTATCTTTAAACACACCATAAGCATTGTAACAAACAGGGTGACCTTCTCTATCAAATCCATGCATATAAGCAACTAATCCTTCTAATTCCTTGAACCCTAATTCTTCTTCAACTACAACATCTGCTTTAAACTCTTTTCGCCATTGCAGCGATTTCTCGAGCATTGAATACGCTTCGTTTACCTTGAAGTCCCTCGCTCGGAGGAACTTAAGGAGGATAACATCCGCTTTCTCGTCTTCCGCGAGAAGAGGAATGTTCCACATTGATGGGTTTTGATTGGATTGTGAAGATGAAAGCTTGGATTTGAGCTCATTGAGAGATTTCTTCTCAGAAGGTTTGAGATTAGAGAGGAAATAAGTGTCTTCTTTGAAAGAAGGAGAACGAAGAGTTGTTGCTTCCATTAAAGAGGAGATTAAGTTTCTTTTTGTTGGGAGTTTTTGTGGGTTTGGTGATGGGGTTGAAATGGGTAGTTGAGTTTTTGGTGAAGATGCTTCCATTTTTGCTCTGTTTTACTCTGTTTTTGCTCTGTTTTTTTTGGGGGATTTTTGGGAAGAAATTTGTGGGTTTTTTAGAGAGAGAAAGAAGGAATGTGGGAATGGAGGAGAGATAGTGAGAAAAGGAGATTTTATGGGTATTTGTTTGACATTTTTGGTAGTGCAGAAGAAAGAAAGGAAAAAACAGGGGAAAACAGAGAGACTGAAAAAGAAGGTTATAAGAGAGAGAAAGAAGAGGATAAATAATTGAAGTGGGGGTGAGTGTGTTTTGTTTTTTCAACTGGAAAAGCTGGCAAAGAAGGGGTGAGGTTTGAGGGTTAATTTGAATTAAGTGAAAAAAAAGTTGAAGGTGGGGGAGTTTGTTTGAGTTTATCAAGGTTGAAAATTTGAACGAGGCTACATCAAAATTGAAGTGACATGAGGGGGTAATCTGAATTTACCACAAGTAGAAGCTGTTGAGGAGTAATTTTGGGAAAAGGGTTTAACTTTTTTTATAGAACTATTTTTGGATTTACTATTATGGCTAATTTGACTTCATACAAGCCACAAGGTATATCTTCAATTCTTCATTGTTTGTTTTCAAATTAAAGTCTCATTTCACTAAAACATAAATAAAAAATTTATCCTTAAATTTACGAGGAAAATGTCAACACTTTGTGTTGCCATAGGTGAATGCGACATAAGTGAAAGCAATTTTGTTAGGCATGAAGATGACTATGGCAATGCAAAAGATGTAATTGTTGAATGTAATGAGATGGTTTCAGCACAACTAAGTTTGATTGTGTAATACCTTTGATTCGATCTAAGTTTTCACGTTTTTATAGAGGTCGAGCTAATGACTCAAGCTATCTTTAATTTAGTTAAGCTTGTTTATGTTCAAGCTAGCAACTTGAGCATTCAACATGTGTGGGTAAGAGGTTTGTTTAAGTGTGGTAGACAATGTAATAGCTTACGATTTTTGCTTGGTTTTTAAGGAGTAATAAGTAACAATTAGTGGTAATGGTCAAATCCCTAAAAAAAAGATTCAAAGCACAAAAGAAAATAATACTAACACGTCTTCTGTTAGAGTAAAAGTTACAAATAAGTATTACAGTATCTCTTTTTTACATATGAAAATTTGTCATAATATTTGACAATTTTTCATAGGAAAATGATAAACATGAAGCTAAAAAAGAAATATTGATGATAGATTAACATTAATAACACTTATCTATGCATAATTTTGTCATGAATTTCCAACTTGATTCCATTTTAGAAAATATTTGATGTTTATAGCCCTAAGGGCTATATGTATCATTACTCTTTTTTATATATTTCCTACCTAAGCTATTTTTTTTTCTTTTGCTATGTGATATTTGAGATTTTAAACTATTATAAGGAAATAATTATACGTTCCTTTTGACAAGTTTTCAAGCCTTGTCCTTTTTTCAAGGAATGTCAACATAAGTCTTAAATGTGATATTTGGGGTTAGAATGAGTAAAACTCATACTTATTGTTTGTTTAAGAAAAAAACTAATTTTTAAACTCATACCTCAAACCTAAGGAGGGAGATGGGTATGGCTTATACCACACCTCTAGGTGTCAAATAAAAGGAATTTAATATTCCTAAACAACAACCAAACTCAAGATATTAACAAGTTTCAATACCAAACTAATTTAGTCTTATTTTTTATTCTAAACTCATACCACTTTGTGCAAATGCTCCCCCTAAAAATGCTAGAATTTCTTATTAAATCTGGTTTAAAAAGGGAAATTACTAAACTAGTATGCTAAAATCTGTCCTCTAGCTTTTCTCCCTATAAGCTATAACTTTATTTATATGTATGTCATTTCTCTATATAATAAACAAGTATTACGAACCACTATTAAAGACACGGACTCGACGTCAGTTAGTGCATCACATGTTGAATACGAATTAGACACATCTACACTCTGGACATGGGTATATATGTTTCTGAGACATAGAGTCAAGTGTTTGGTTTATTTCAGTTAAAGAGGACACATGCCAAAAAAGCGATAGAATTAAACAGATACATATAAGACAAATCTAGTGGCCTGTAACTTCAATGTATTAGCTATTTACTTCAAATCATATTATAAACACTACTAACTAATTGTCTTGAGACAATCTAGTGTTATGTGACCTCCCTCGCCTTTTTTTGGCATAAAGTCTATTCATTCTGCTATCAAATGTATCAATGTTGCTTAACTTTCGATGGAACATTTCACATTTAACTATTCACATGCTCTGCACATATTATGTAAAGTCTTTAACGAGAAGAATACTCCTTTTAGCAAGTGCATACAATAAGAAACTTCACATTACTTGAGACCTAAAGTTAACAAGGTAGAGATCACTAGCCAACTACTCCCAAGTCACCAAACCACGTAAAGCATGGTGGTCACCTAGCTTAAAATCACTTCCATCTCACTGCAACACTGCATACATTAGTGCGACTACATGATGCCGTAACAATTGGAGCAACTATAATGTCAATAATAATATACAAGTATTTTATCTTATAAAAACAAAAACATTTATAGAATCATACTCGTAAAAAAGATGTAAGCAAAGGAAGTGTTCGGCAATAAAGAGTAGAGTGTGAATAAGGTTAAATAATTGGAAAGAAAGCGTGAGAGCGGCGAAGGCGACACGGGTGTTGTCATGTGTGGGAGAAGTTGGGCTTACATTAGTTAATGTTTGACATCCAAACTTGCCTTTTTTTTTCTTTTTTGTGGGGTTGTACACACAGGATTTTCTCTTGCCTGTGAGCTTGGAATTAGATAGTGGATTTTTATTTTATTTTTTTATTATTTTTTTTATTTTTTTTTTAACCTTTAAAAGTGATAGAATATAAAATATATTCTTGGACATTAACCATCAACTTAAACTTTTGGTTGAGTATGTCCACTAACATGGTATCAGAACTATCGTGACATGAAGGTCATGAGTTTGAATTTCATGCACCCCCAAGCTCATGCTGCATCCACACTTCTAGCCCAAACGGACTCTCTTGTTAGAGCAACTCCAATTGCAAGTTAATTGTCAAATTAGCTTGCCATGTCACCTAAGATTGCAAAGCTATTGTTCCTTCTAGCTAATTCATACCAGAATGATTAGGCTAATTAACATTTAGATTTTAGCTTTATTTTTTAAAGAATTAGTATTTTATTAGAGACAATTAATTTCTAAGCTAATTAGCTTAGGTAAGCTAATTTGTTTGTCATTAGCTTGACCAAGCTAATTATTAAATATACTCTAATGGTTGGTCTATTAGCTTAAAAATTATTAAAATTACAAGCTAGTCCCTAAAAGCAACCATTGGAGTTGCTCTTAATTAAATTTAATTGTAGTTTAGCTCATCATTTAAAAAAAAAAAAAAAAAAAAAAAAACTTTATAATTAATGTAACTATGAAGTAATTAGACCTTTTTAAGAGGACAAACATTTTTGTATTATTCTCCAAATAAATGTGGAGTATCTAGTTATCTATCACCTTCAAAGTACACCACATGTCATTATATAACCTTCAAAGTCTTCACGAACTCTTCAAATTACCCTTACTCAGTTCAGCCATTGTTTATTTACTCACCATAAAGTATCTCATTATTTATTACCTATTTTAGGTCATGAGAAACTCACCTTTATCTACTGCTATATTTCATTTACCCTTATTCTCCTTTTCCTTGTTTTTCATGATCGAATTATTAATACTTCTTAATCAGATCAAATCAAGGGCTGAAGTTTGGAATGACGCTTCTTTGTTTACTTTACTAGATTAGTCCCGTGCATTGTACGAGTTTCTTTGAAATATAGAGTATATATTTTTATGTATTCTTATGTATAAGAAAAAATATTGAGACATAACCATTAGTTGTAAATGCTAATTTTATAAAATTAATTTTGAAGAAGAACAAAATCGAATATGAAAATTTAAGCATATTGATAAAAGCTAGATTTTTAATGTACGATTTTTATTAAGAAAATAAAAAATGATTTTAAACTTGTAATATATAAAAGAAAATAGAAAAAAATATATACATCAAAGTATTTTGTTGATGAAACATAAGGAAAAGATATATTAGATACCAATAGTTGGTGATAGAAGAAAAATAAATAAATTAAAGAGTATAGATAAATTGAGAGGTGGAGAAATTAATTTTGAAATTTGAAACCATAGAAAATATAATGACGTCAGATTTTTCTTTAGGGCAGGAAAATTTTTCTTATAAAAAGCTGTCATATGGACAATATAATGTCAGCGATTGTTCCTTTAGTTTATTTATAGATAAATAGGACCTGTTTGGCATTAACTTTTAAGGTAGCTGTTAACTTTAAGATCTAGTCAAAACACTACCTTAAAATAATATTAGTGTTTGCCTATTTGGTGAAGTAGTGTTTTTAAGTAACTATTAGAGGTAGAGGTAGCTTTTAAATAGCTGTTGTTGAAAGGTATAAAAGATAGCTTTTGAAAATGTAAAGTACCACTCAACCTTTTTTTTTATTATTTTTTTTTTCTAATGAACTTTTTTTTTTCTTTTTGACTCAGTATTATTTGTTTCGGTCAACCATAATATCAGATTTTTCTATTCCATATCTTTTTTTTCCAAGAGTATTTTTTTCTATCTTATTTTTTAAATTGATTATTTATTAGCAATGTATATTATACTATATATTTAAAATTATCAAACATATTATACATAACACATCACACTACTACTACTACTACTACTACTACTACTACTACTACTAATAATAATAATAATAATAATAATAATAATAATAATAATAATAATAACAACTGTTTTTTTATAGTTTCAATTGCTGCTTTTACTGAACACTCATAATATGAACCTCTACCTTCACAGCTGACCTCAAACAGCTACTACTTGACAGCTAACAACTACCTCTACAGCTCACGACTAATCAAAAGCTAATAGCCAATAGATACAGCTAGTTTTTCTGAACATACTCGTAGTGTTACTCAAAAACTTGATAAGACTAGATCATTACAAGGCTTAGTATATAACCATCATGAAATGCAAACATTTGCAACAAAATATACGGTTGTACTGTGATGATTTGTGTCTTAAAACAAAATATTTTGGTATTGCAACCGCTACTTGTCAAACACTCATACTATCAGGCGTTACTTTGACAGCTAACCTCTACCCACTACTAATTAACCACTACTAGCTACCTTAACAGCTACCCGGTACTCGACCGCTAAAAGTTATATATCCGCTATCGCTACTTTTGCCAGACAGGACCTATATGGAGTACATTTTTTTTATTCTTCCACTTATCCCACTACCTCTATATTTTATTAATTTCTCCAATTTTTCCTAAAATTCCGTACATGGAGAAATGAAGCAAATATTTTAAAATAGAGAGAGTATGGAGTACTTCGTAAGCATTTGTATCATACATTCATACTACTACGGGCTTGTTCTGATTTACGTTAAACAACTTAAGTGAACGGATTGGAACTGAACTGAACTAAATAGAGTTAAAATGAATTTTTTATAAGATAAGAAAATTAGAAACTAAAGTGAACTAAAATGAATTGAAATCCCTACCTTATAAAAAGTGGGAGAATACTCTTATGAATAGTGCATGGACGTTTATATCCCTAAAAATATTCTTTTACATATTTACCCCCATTGAATTCAATAGTTTAAAAATTATCTCTTGAATTACGAAAATTGATTAATTATTTGTGTTTATTTCAATATTTAAAGAATTTTTTTAGAATCTTCAATTACTATGCAAATAGATATATAAAATACTGTGCAAATATGCATAAGACATAAAGATCACCAATGATAATTCTCCTTAAAGGATTAGCCTTACGCGCGCCATTCCTAATTAAGCTAAAAAGAACAAATCCCTCATATTATGGTGGGAGAAGTTTACTAAACAATTTCACACTAGGAGCCTAAACCCAAAGGGTTTTGAAATGCCAAGGACGAGAAGGCAAGACGAAATCCATGGGGCCCAATAATCTTCACCAATGGAGAAAAAAGCCTGCTTTGTTATAAGCCTTTGTTTTTGAAAAAGAAAGGTGCCAAGATATTAGACATACCATAATTATATGGTTAAATCTTTTACTCCGTAATTTCATTCATATTATAGATAGACATGAGTCCAAGAGTAGGGTCATCCTTGCTCTTTAATTAGAGAATTTTTAGGGATCTTAAATTACTAATTCATAATTATGCTTCTTTAAATATGGTTACTTATGATTTGGGGATGACCCATGTTTAATCATTATACCCACTAATCCTCACGATTATGGCCTTAATTACTCATGTTAGTTCTGCATTGGTTTAAGGCGACAACCAAGAATCATTCAAGTTTCAAAGTTATATTTTATGACCTTTGTTTTCATTTTTTTTGTACTTAAAAGAGTACTTAGTAATCTTTCCTATTTTTAATTAGATTATTTAGAAATGTACATGCACAAATTGATGATTTACTAATATATGTAGTCTTAAAAATTGCATATAAGATTCTAGAAGTATGAATATTAATTATTTATAAAGCTTTAATTGATCTTGAGTATTTGATTATATTATATCTGTTTTTAAAAATGAAAACTAAGAAAGTGTTCTCTTTCTGTTATAGATTGACAAAATATTAAGTGTCTAAGTCTCTAAGAGCAACTCCAATGGTTGTAGCTAGAAACTTCTTGCAATTTCAATAATCCATAACTACTAGCTTGACCATTGGAGCTAGAAAACTCAATTAGTTTGGCTAAGCAAATTAAGCTAATTTGCTTGGGAATTAAACTTGCCAAAATGAAAATGCACATTGCACCAATTAAGCTATTTCCATTAATTTTCTATCCAACAACTACTACTAAGCTACTAGCTAGCCATTGGAGCAAAAAGTAACTAAAATGATAATTAGGGCATGTTCTCATACGTTTAATTTCAGTTCAGTTCAGTTCGGGGTTCAGTTCATTTCAGTTCAGTTCAGCTTAGCTCAGTTCAGTTCAGCTCCTAATTTCCTTCTCTTATAAAATATTCCATTCATTTCAGTTCAGTTCATCTCCTAATTTCCTTCTCTTATAAAATATTCCGTTCATTTTAGTTCAATTCAGTCAATGAGAACAGGGTCTTAGTTTAAAAGTTTATATGGCATGACAAGCTAATTGTCAAATTAGCTTATCATTGAAGTTGCTCTAATATATCTAAGCATTCATGCACAACTCAATATCATCTTTTAAATTCGTATTTCATATTTCTTACCAAATTTGCTCTATTTAAACTTATAAAAACTCCCTTGAAAGAGTTTATTTCAATGGGACGTATATATGAATATGTTTGTGCTAGCAAATTAAGTAACTAAACTAGTTAGTAAATTAAAAGTCAAGCACTCCCTCTAACTCTTAGGGTTTAGGACAATACAATGTATACTAATCTAAAGAAGTTTATAAGAACATCTATGCGTCTATTAAAATAATGTATAAATGAGAAGGTTCGAACACTTAATCTCTTAGAAGAAAAGTTTTGTATAACCATCTAAGCCAATTGTTAATAATTATGCTTTAACATTGCATAGTAAATAATGTTATCTATAGACCTTACAAAATATGCAAAAGAAAATACTGTTCTTATGAACAGTTCTTTGTGGTGCTATTACAAAGACACCCTTACATTTAATGAGTTGCCGGATTTGCCCTTGCTTAGCTTTGTACATTTGCTTGCCATGGAGGATACAACTGTTCTTTAGGCCTTCCTTTGACTGCCAGCTAAGGTTGGTTGATGCTTGGCTGCTATTTCTCATTTCCTCGACTCTCCTTTCACCGACTTCCTTCGCTCTCTCTCAGAAACCTAGAGAGAGAAATCTTCGACACCAGTGATCGGTGCTCTCAGATTATTAATCGAAATTCAGCAATCACCGATCATCCATTCGATGATGATTATGGGGCTTCGGTTCTTCTTTGGGGTAAGATCTTTATCCTTTTTATAAGCATCTAATATCAATTTGACAATCTAGGGTATAGCTATAATTTTATAGAAGTCCACTAATCCTTTTTTGGTAATTCTTCTTAATTAATAATCTGAATTTCGATTGAAAAATCAAAGGTAATTCTTCTTAATTAATTTTCTAAATTTTGATTAAAAAATCGAACTATTTCTTGATGAAGAAGCGGTGATTTCGTTCTTTTGATTTTGATTAAAAAATCGAACTATTACCAAGCTGCTCAGGTTTGTGTGTTTTTTTTTAATTTTTTTTTGTTTGTTTTTTTCCTGGTTTTTAGGGTTTAGATGTTCAATTTTGCGGAGATCTGTCTAAATAAAAGATTTAATTCGATTTGTATTTGTTATTTTGAATTTATTCTCTGATTTTGCTGCTCTATATGGAAGAATAACGTACATGTATGTAGTGTTTCCATTAGGTAGGTGAGTTTGCTTGCGTATGAATTTAGCGGATAAGCCCCCTTTTGATAGAGCTTTTGTGAGTGTTGATCAAGGTTCTTTCACTTCTTTGGGACAATCTTTTAAATAAAACGGATGTTCAGTAAATTATTGAACATCCGTTATAAAGTGACAATAAAATGTGCAAAAGTTACATTAAAACGCACAAAAGTTACCCTGACATATATAAAAGTTATTTATGATTCATTGATAAATTTGACAAAAGTGACACTAAATTTGACAAAAGTGACACTAAATCTGACAAAAGTGTACCCGATGTACAGTAAATTACTGAAAACCGGGTGTATACAAAAGTTTTCCTTTCTTTGGTGCAAGTGTACTTTTGAAATCATTGTTTGAACAAAAATGTTTTATTAGCAAATTTGTTTTAAGTGATTGTTTAAATTCAACCAGTTCAAGATTTTTGGTTCTGTTGACAGTTTTCTCACTAGCTGATATTGGTTCTATTTGTAACAGCTACCACAGCTCGTTGCTGAAAATGTTCTGGCTTTCAATGAGGGTTTCTGGATTCGGCTTGCTGCCAGAACTGATACCTGCAAATCAGAGGATGATAAAGCATGGTTTCTTCACTATTATCATTATTTTTCCGTTGAATACTAAGTTGTGGATTCTTATTTCCATGAAAAATGACCCGGATTTGTTGGCATGCAGAAAGATTATGAAGAATTGGCAGCAACGCTAATGAGTACAGTAGACCGTCTTGTTCACAAAACCAATGTATGTCTTGTTTTAATTGGGATAACCTTCCATTCAATCCAGTCACCTTGTTCAGTGCTTGATCTTATGTTCTTAATTCTTTTTGTGAAGGAAAAAATTGAGTCAGCTACCGTTGTTTTAAAATCAATCCTCAAACATGTGCCCTGAAGCTCTCAGTCTGATGGAACAGGCATGTCCATCTTCTTGTATACTAATTATTTTTTGTTATTTTGACACTGTGGTTATTGATATAGTATGTCTGTTGCATGTATTTTAAAACTTAGTTGCTTATCATATTAAGTGTAACTGAACTTAATTGACCTTTTGTTCTCATTGTTTCTCAATTTGTCCCATTTTTTTGTAACTTTGTTGTATAACTTTTTTACTATTACTGTAATTGAGCTTGGTGTAGCAAAAAATTGACTTGGTTGGTTTCAGAAAGTTATGATCTTGGGTTTTATTTGATTCGCATTCGCCGAATTCAGATGCATATGTATCTGTTAAGTGCTCTATGTCCATCTACATGGAAATGGGTTTGCTATGTAAACACATTATTGATGACATGTTGCAAACATACAATGAAATGGGTTTGTAAAGTCTATAAGATTATAATATTTCAGTTCATTATCCAATTCGATCAAGGGTATTATTTGAGTCATAAGGCAATTTGCACATTCTAACTTGAGCCTGGTCTGCTTAACAGGAAGGTAGTTTATAAGAACCTATTGTGGACTGTGGTTAGTAGAGAAATGGAGGATGTTGTGGAGCAACAGAATCCATCACTAGGTAATTTATGATATATTTTTTCTATAAATCGCCTATCTCTAAAATTGGAAATTAGATTCTATATTCACTCAACCAAATACCGCAAATCATACTCCTGTATACCTTTTATAAATCTCACATTGCTATACTCCTTTGAAGGTGAAGAAGGAGAGAGTGATATAGTAACTGAACAGGCTACCTTTGTCCATGGAGCACCTCATCAAGATGATAATGGCCCCCCTAAAGTAGATGCTGAAGTTGAGCTTCTTCATGAGAAAGTTACCAAGCAAATAATCAAAGAAGGTCACGGTGAAAAACCATCCAAATATTCCACATGCTTTGGTAAGTATAATTGGCCTCCATCTTAGTCTCTTAGATGTTCCCCACTGAAAATTCAAATTGTTGCGATTTTTGTACACTTGGTTACTATTGACTACAAAAAAAATTTCCTTTTCTTTCACTGCCTTGTCACTACGTGTGTCATATAACTAATTGAAATTTCACCAAAATTGGCTGATATTGCAAAATTGCAATAACATACAAATACATTATGTACATATATATATATATATATATATATATAGCTATTGAGATTGTAGGTAACTTGAAAATTTCTTGTTTTTTTGACGATTTTAAGGGTTATTATTATTATTTTTTAATTTTATTTCATTGTGCCTGCAATTTAGAAGAGGTGACACTGTTACAAAAAAGCACAAGGTGAGGTGTTTCCTAGAGTACTTGCATGTCAGTTTGGCTGCTATTTTTTTCTCCTATGCTACAGCATCGTCTAGCTCACTGCTGTTTTTAATCATGGTCATCCTCTTACATTTTGCATATTGCTTTTTAGACATCTTTTATTACCATGAGCATCATGATACTTTGGCTATTGTTCTCTTCAACTAATGATGTAGTCTTATTTGACTTGTATACAGGTTGAGTATGATGATGGAGATGAGGAGGTTTTAAATCTGAGAACTGAACAATGGGAAATCCTAGGCGATGAAATTCCAACTGATATCGTAGGTGTTCTCCCCCATTCCCTTTGACATCTCTCTATTTCATTACAAATCATTGTACTAAAGTCCTGACAATAATTAATTTATTACCCAGGACATATTCGTTGATAAGAAATCTCCTCAACCACGCTCAACTACGTAAGCATTCCTTCTGACTGCTGAGGAGTTAAAAGCTTTCCATTCTGACTATTCTTTATTACTTTGGTGCACTGTAATTAAGCATACATGATGCTTATCTTGTAGCATAGATTGACTGCATAGTTTCACTCATAAGTGTCTAATGAGCTCAGTAAAACACGAAGCTATTGTTGTGAACCTTTTGATTCTGTGATGTAAATTTCCCTAATATTTCGTCTTATGTCCTATTGAATCATAGTTGTTTGGGGTTATGTCATGTAATTTGTTGCATGCTAGACTTGATAAATTATGCTTATAATTTCAATATAGTAACCTACAGAATTATTCTTCTGTTTAGTATATATTATTCACCTGTATGTGATGCAATCAGGCCAAAACGAGAAGGGTCAACAGTGTGTGAGAAGGAAACCTCTCAGACCAACACTAGGAATAGGGAGATAATGCCCGAGCCTGAGGCTGAAGTTGATGATGGAAGCCATCAAGTTGCCGAGGTTGTGGAGAAAGTGAAGACACCGGAGGGTTTGAGTGAGATGAAAAGACCAAGATTATCGGATGGACAGAAGTCATGACTAAATTTTTGTTGTTCAAATCTTCTTCCTGCTGTGAATTAGTGGAGGAATTTAAGGTAGATTCAAAAGAAAACAATTTTGTACCAGATTGCTAATGTAATATATATGGTGTAATGATTTTGTAAGCTAGAGAATGTTCCAGGGGTTTAGTTAGGATTAGATGGATTTACCCGAGTATGTTCAGGTTTTGATGGGGCATCTTCTTGCAAAAGGGCAACTGTAATTAATTTATCAGCCCAAAGGCTCAATTTTGTACACATCAAACTAGATACTTAAAATATCTCGTTATTTTCAGTATTGATTGTTGTGGTTCCTTGATCGTGTGCTTGATATAGCTTGATTTGATTCTTGTCAAACTAAGTTAATATGTTCTTTTGGATACATGAACAATCTAAGAGTATGATCAATTTGTTTTGTTCTGGATAATTTGGAGTGGAAGTTGTTGCATGTCAAATTGTTAGCTGGTTGTACATTAAGCTTTTTTTTTTTTTTTTTTTTCAATAACTGTACATTAAGCTTTTAAAGGTGAAAACATCCTATTTTCTGGGTTATTAAAGAGGAGTATTGTAAGATAGGTGATTTTTAAACGCATCACTTTTACTTATATTGCCCTAAATAACACTAGCCTCTTTACTCAAAAGGCAGAGCATTATGCAAATTTGCGCTTGAACTCCACAATTTTATTTATCCGTTATGTGATTGTCAAACTACTTTATATGCTTTGGATATAGGAAGAAGTCCAATCAATTTCTTAATGTGTTTCACTTTGGAGATTGTATGCATATGATATCAGATACAGAGAGAGAGAGGAAATGAAAAAAGTAAGAAGAGATACTTTTTAGGTGTAATTAAGGAGATGAAAATAGGTTTTACAAACTTTCAAAACTACTCAAAATTATAAAACATAAATAAAAGAAATTGGAAGTTAAAGGGATAGAGAAACAGAGTGACCAAGAAAGAGGGAATAGAAATCGACAATTAGAATTGGACAATTTTCAAATCTTTCACTAAATGATATTCGTTAACAAATGTGGTTTTGTGATAATTATGAAAATATTAACTAATTTGTAGCACTTTTAGAATAAAACTTTTAACCTTATTGTAGAATTGTGCTAGATTCACCGGTAAATGTATTTTTGAATGTTTAATTAACCATAGTAATAGATAGATTTTAAGAGATAAAATGAAAGAAGGATGGAGGGAGGAGAAGAGAGGAAGAGAAAGAGGGAATGGGAGGAGGAAGAGAGAGAGAAGAAAAAAGGGAGGGAGTAGGAGGAGTGAGAGAGAGAGAGAGAGAGAGGAACTAGGGAAGGAGTTGGAGAAGAGAAAGAAAGGGTGGGAGGGAGTTAGACGAGAGAGAGGTGTGAGAAAGAGAGAGAGAAGGGTCGGGATAGAGAGAAAGAGAGAGAGAGAGAGGGTGGGAGAAAAAAAGAGATAAGGGCCGAAAGAGAAAGAAATAGTTAATTAAGATAAAGAAGGGCAAGGAAAGAGAGATAGAGTGATAAAGAAATAGATGAGTTGTGAAAGAGGGAGGAGTCAAGATAGAATAGGAGAGAGAGGGAGAGAGATAGAGATGAGCCAAGAGGAGAGGGAGGGAGAGAGAGAGAGGCTGGGAGAAGGAAAAAAAAAAAGAGATAAGGGCCGGGAGAGAAAGAAATAGATCAATTAAGAGAAAAAAGGGCAAGGAGAGAGATAGAGTGATAAAGAAATAGATGAGTCGGGAAAAAGGGAGGAGTCAGGATAGAATAAGAGAGAAAGAAATAGAGAAATTAAGAGAAAGAAATAGAATAAGAGAGAGAGAGGGAAAGAGAAAGAGAAAGAGAAAGAGAGATAGAGATAGAGATGAGCCAAGAGGAGAGGGAGAGAGAGAGAGAGGCTGGGAGAAAAAAAGGGATAAGGGCCGGAAGAAAAAAAATAGAGCAATTAAGAGAAAGAAGGGAAAGGAGAGAGATAAGAGTGATAAGGAAATAGAGGGAGGATTCAGGATAGAATAAGAGAGAGGGGGAGACTTACTTAATCGTTAAACCATATAAGAAGAATAATTAGGCTGGAGAAAAAAAAAGGAACAGATGGTGAAAGAATGCAAGAATGAATAGAAAAGGGAAATGAGATAAGAAGATGAAGAAATATAGCAGAGAGGGTGCTTATGAAGGAAGAAGAGATAGGAAGAACTTAAAATCAAATTAGTGACTACCACAGAAATAAGATCCCCTAATCATCATGTTAATAAACACCCCAAACTACAAAACATGATCAAAATTCCACAAATCTTACATATCATATCGTGGTGTTTGTGTGTGTGTAGGGGGAGGGGGGGAGTGCGTAGTGTGTTCTCCAATGACTATAATCTTAAATATAAAAGTGTAAAGCTATTCCCTCCAACTGTATTTTAAAAAAGTAAATAGTACATCAAATAATTTATAGATAAATGACCAGCAAATAAACTTTAATACATACACAAATGATATTTCTCATTCATTTTATACCTTCCGTATCGATTACAAAATCTAATTAATATAATTTTTCAATAGAAGAACCACTCGAAAAGTTTCTACTTAAAAAAGTCTACTAAACTAATATATCATTAGTATTGCATTTTTTTTATTACTACTCTTTATTATCACAATCATTTTAAAATGAAGCTATTCGAAAATAATATCTAAAACAATACTATAATTTATTAAGAATCTTTGAGTTACAACAAATTCTAGATAACTTCACTTATAATAATTGTTTTTCCATAGAAACTTTAACACTACTCCTTGTTAGTACTTACAAATTCATGTATTCTTATTATTACAAAACTCGAACACAACTACGAAATTTACTTATCTTGCCGTCGAGGGGCACGCGCAATGCGCGTGCTCCAACGACTAGTACTACAAAGTATTAAAAACATATACTTCATACAAACTATTAGATGCTCTTATAAATTAGCAGTTACACAGCTATAAAAATAGTAACTCGGGGCAACATCCGCACTACTCACTAATTAATATATTAAAACTTGATCCAAAAAAATAAAAGTTACTTTAAGTAGGACAATATTTTAAAGACGAATGAATTATAATATAATAAAATCATGAAAATCTATTTAATACCAAACCTTGTGCTATTTTTTCATCCTAAAGATCAGAGTAGACATTTAATTGAGGTATTACATATAAAACTATTGTATGATTAAAAGATGGAGAAAATCAACAAAGTTGAGATGATGATCCATATATTCCAAGGTACAAATGGTACAATGATATTAGGACAAACTAATACGAATACATGAAGATTGCAACACATAAGATGAGATGCTTGGATTGTTCTAATCCCAACAACAACAAAAGTTGATATTTCTGCTTAAATTTGTATAAACGGCCAAATATAAGAAGCTGCTGTTATGATGATGATGATTAGCACCTTCTCCTCTTCATCTTTATATCATTTGTATGGAATCTACCACTATTTTTTATACTCGTAATTTGTTTTCTTTAATTTTTGAGGTCACTTTAAACTTTGGTTGTCTAAAGTTTTTGCTACATTTTCTGATCCCACATGAGCTGTAATTATACAATTTAATTTTGTGTTGGTAGAGGAGAGAGAGACAAAGTTTAAAGACCTTTCAGATTTGATCGATCATCTTCACATTTGCTACTCTTCTTTGCACGGCTTATCTCTCTTTTGTTAAATTTTGTAGTGCATGGTCCATCCGTATCTAAAAGGATACTCCGTAGTCAATACTCCATCTATCAATCTTTTCGTTCTCATGTAGATTCCGTCATCTTATTTTAACTTACTCCCTTCGTTTCATAATAATCGTAACGGTTGAGTTGACATAAAATTTTAGAAAAATTATAGTACGGGACTCAGTGGCGTATCCAAGAATTCTGAACCGTGGGTTCGAAATCTTAAACGAAAAATGATGATCATATATTAATTAAATATTCAATGCATAAATTCAAATTTTGCGACTCAATTATTCGCATCATCAATAGGAGACACAATATTTCATTTATCGGAGGATTCCTTGGATTAGGTGAAAACAAGTAGAGGACTTTTGCGACTTCCCGACACGTTTCCAAAAAGACTTTAAACTCATGGTAAGTTGGTAACAAAAGCTCTACAATCTACAATATACAATCTACAATAATACACAAAATAAACAATGTATAATTGTTATATTACACATAAAACAAAAATCCCAACTCCCCAATAAACACATATTGCAAAAAAAAAAAAAAAAATACAAAAAGTGAGGGCAAGAAGAATCGAACACAGGACATGAGGAACTCACTGCTCTAACATTCAACACCTTACCAATGCACCAAACATACTCAATTATTTGCCTCACAAAAACTGTTTTAACCCTTTTTTAATTTTTTCTTTTTTTTATAAAAAAAAGATTAAAACTTATAATTTTTTTCCAAAAAATCTATGGGTTTAATGAACCCCTTTGAACTCCCCTAGATCCGCCCATGACGGGACTAAAAGGAGAATTTTTATAATACGAAGTATAAAGTATGGAGTATAGTAGTGTAAGTGGGGTTGATAAGAGAGAGATAATAAAATACTCTGTAGTTATAGGTCCTTATCAAATAAAGAAGTGTTGCAATTACTCCATAATACAGTATGAAACATATGAAAAAGAAAAATGTTGGATTATTATGAAACGAAGAGTGTATATTCTATCAACATCGTTATGTTCTATCAGATTGAACTGAATAATTATATTTTTGTTATGAAATATTTGTGGATATCCATTATCCTCCTTTGTATCATTCCGGAACAATCTAGATCTAGGGTTATTGTTATTTAGATGAAATACTACAAGAGGGGGGGTGAATTGTAGTATGGAGATTGCTAGTCACTTTTTGCGGAATTAAAAGAAACTTAACGCAATAGAGAAATAGTGCAAGAGAGATTTTACGAGGAAAACTTCCTAGGCCAAATAGGAAGTGAAAAACCTCGACCCAAAGGGATTTTGACTCAAAACATTCCACTAAAATAGGCCAACGACTCTGTTACAACCTATGAGGAACTTGAGCCTCTACCGAGTTCCTCAACGAACTCATATCCCCAACAACTATTCCCTCTAATAGTTGCAGCTTGAAATCTTCCCTCAAAGACCTCTCTTCTCACTCAAGACTTCACTCAAAACCTTACTCTTTCTCTTTCTCTCAAGCTTCACTCAAAGCCTTCTCTACATACAAAGAACTCACTCAAGTTCTCACCCTAATACAAGAGTTCACTCAAACCCTTATTAATTCCCCATTACAAGAGTTCACTCAAACCCTTATTAATTCCCCATTA